GTAACGGTAAGTTTAATCCTGACCCTAATGAGCTATTAACACATTGTCCAAACAGTACTTAAAAACGTGATCTGGGTGAAATTTGCCCCTAAGTTGGTGAATAGCGTTGATATTTCAGCTATGATAATGACAGATGCCGTTAGCCAACTACTAACATGCGTTCAAGGTCATTGGAGCGTTCACACTCCTGGGACGTTATTGTTGAACTTCGCCAATTTTCTATCCCCCATTGATTCATTATACTGGACGGAAATATTTTGCCTTAGTTGTGACATATCACCGCCTAGTGTACACAGATGCACCATGATGTCTGTGGATTAAACATGACTAATAATGGAGTCCATCTTATTTGGAACTGGTCAGTTAGTCAGCTAGCTGGATAAACCTGCCAGTCCCCCACAGCACTACCCACTAAGTTTCAATGGGAAGACCATACCACCAACAAACAGCACGCAGTGGGGGATTTCAGCTACATCTAGATGACCAATAGCTATTAATCATAATAATAATAATAATAATTTTTGCTTTATTACAAAAACAGTACTAATGATACAGCAAGGAATATTCAGCATTTAGTACAATATTGCATCTAATTTACTCAAAAACGACAAAAAAAATAAACATTGCATAATAATATTAACAAAAAGTTGTTAAGGCAGCTATGTAGCAATTACAGTATGCGATAAGGAGAAAAATATACATTAAGTATAAAATTGCAGTAATAATAGTAATAACAACTAAAATAAAATAGCTAAGTCATAATTAAACGATAGGAAGGGTGACACCAGAAAATTACAGAAAGATGAACAATGAAAGGGTCGATTCACTATGCTAATTACATAGTAACTTATATGTTTCACGTCTAACAGAGTCTTCATCACATAAAATACGGGCCAAATAGGGTACTGTAGTGGTGCGAGCATGTAACTTCGTATATTGACTTCTCGTCCTGCCTGATGAGATGCAAGTGGATAGTTGTGAATAAAGTGGGTGCAGGGGGTCTGACATTACGGCCTTTGCCCATTGTGTACAGGATTTTATATGTCTCTCGACTATAATATTGGCGAGCTCACGCAGTGGCATACCACAAGCCCTACTCACAGCATTTAATACCCTTCGTAATATGATATAGTTTTTCTTGAGAAGCCCAGGAAAGATTAATGGAGAGCAATAGAGTAAAATAGGTAAAATACAGGAGTTTACAAACTGCAGAAGTAAAGGTTGGTTGGTTGATACCTGATTGTCTTAACTTTGTTTTAATGTAGAAGGTTGTAGACGAAACATTTTCTTAGAGATTGATGAGATGTGGGATGACCATGAAAGGTCAGAGAGGAAAGAACTAATCCAAGGTATTTAATGCTTGACTTGGTTTCAATTTCAGTGCCGTGCCATCTATGCTACAGGCATCATGGGAACTAAGTAGTTCATGTTGTATGTCACGTCGATGCTTGAAAGTGACGAAATTTACATCCTAGACTCCACAAAGCTAGTCACCACCATTGACAAAAATAACACAAAATGTTGATCTACACACACATTGTTGAAGTGTCCAACATACTAGAAAGCTGGTTGTTGATATGTCCCAAAGGCAGACTGAATATTTCGAACCAACATAATCGAAATTATCTTACATAAAAGTAGATGGTTAAAGTCCATGCATGCTCTAGTGACTCATTTAATATATGGAACAAAAATGAATACAAGTAACAATAATAATAATAATAATAATAATAACAACTTTGTTTCAATATATATAACAGCGCAAATAGGCTAGTGGTTCTCTACTCGACAAACGTATACACGTCTGCTCGTATGTTCGTATGAATGTGTGTGTGTGAGTGTGGATGTGTGTGTCAACTACGATGCATAAGATACAGAACTTTGTACACTTACTCACAACAGATCAATTCGATTCACTACAGTTCGATACACAGAGCACACAAAAAGAGAGCAAGACAAAATTAGAACGAAAAGGGACTGAAATAGAATGATACTACGGTAGATAGATAGGTAGATAGATAGATAGCGTGTTATATGAAATATTATAAACTTCAAATATATGAGAAAAAGGGAATGAATATTATTTTTATTCCCTTGGGTTCCAAATGGAACACAAGGCTTCAACATTACATCTCCAATTTGTTCTATTCTCTGGGTCCACGGTTCTACGCCCCACTCGTCGCTTCGCATTGGGATTCCACTCGAGCTATGGCCTGCATTACGTGCGATGTTATTCGATAGCCTCCTCAACGTATGCCCGATCCATCTCCTTTTTCTTCTACATAATATGTTGAGTAATAGGTCCTTGGTTGGTTCGTCACCATTCAGAGTTTCTTGTTACTAATTCTTTCTGGCTGGCCAGTTGGCCATTTGATCTTCAGTATAGAGCCAGAGAGGCGAGCAACTGTTGATGAAAGTCTGTAACCTGTTGGAAATCCTTTTCATGACTGACACGTAGTGCAAGTTTCTGACCCGTATAGAAGAACTGATCGACTTCACATTTTTGTTGAAAATCCGAATCTTGTTGTTTTATGCTGACGGAGTGCAGCAGAAGATTTCCAAACTGGTTTCAGGTTGATGAAGGCGTATCTTGCCTTTCCAATTCTGGCTGGCTGGCTGGCTTTGACATCCTTATCCGTTTCGATTGCCTTTGGTTGAAACTGTGCCTCCTGGCCAGATAAGTGAAGGAGGCAACCTCTGACAAATTCCTTGCGTCGACAGTGTCTGATACTGTTTGTTGTTGCTGTTGGTTGGTTATCTTCATCACCTCCGTTTTCTCTGCATACGCATTAATATTAACTAAATGTCTGCAGTCCCTGATACACACACACCATAAAAGACTTCAGATACGAAATGCATAGCCAAATAACTGTAAGCAGTATGGAGAGGAGAAATACAAAATTAACAGTCATATCACAGCTTAAATGATGTTCACACTTATGAAAAAAATAAACAAAAAATTGAGAGGATTATAAATATAAGAAGTACAATAACAATAAACGTTGATGTTGCCAGGGTGGAGGAAATGGTTTATTTAGTGGTGCAAAGAAGGTTAGTTAGTTCATGTCTGACACTATTTTGATCACATAAATTACGTGCTAAATATGGTATAGTGGAATTTTTATACTTAGATGTACGTGCATAAAGTCTTCTGAAAAGACGTCTTGTTTTACCTGAGGAGACACAAGGTTGGAGCTGTGGGTAAAGTGGGGGATGCTCACAGTCTGACAAAATTCCTTCAGCAAATTTGTTGCATGACATCAAGTGCCTATCAATGACAATGTCAACGATATGGCCCAACGGGATACCACTCGTCCTACTGACCGACAGTCTTCAGAGTTCTACGAAGTATGACATAGTCTTTTTTAAGCAATCCAGGAAAGAATAAGGGTGAACAGTAAAGAAGAATAGGTAAGATGCATGAGTTGACAAGCTGTAAGAGGAGTGGTTGGGTTATGCCTGAGTGTCTCAACTTCTTAATGTAAAAAGTAAGACGAAATATTCTTTTAGAAATCGCTAAGACATGGGAAGACCAGGATAGGTCAGAAGAGAGAATTAATCCAAGATACTTAACTTCATAGACCTAACACAATAAATCACACTTTCAGTTGTGTTGTAGTTCAATAGGATAGCTAGTTTCCCAATAAGTTAGTTTTTAGGGGTTTGATTTGTTTCAAATTTTGATTGCGGATTGATATCAGATGGAGAACCATTGAAAACCACCAAGGAGTACTTGAGAACTGTTTTGTTCCGCTTTGGGACCCATCAGCAGTACTCACCCACGCAGGGTTCGAACGTAGAACTTTCCGCGGTTACAAGGGAGTGAGAACATATACTCACCGATAACATTGGCTGCTAATCGTGGTAAAATCACGAATCGATTGAAGTTGGAATTCATGGGTTACTGAGTCAGATCATATTGACTGAATGGTGCGGCTAGCTACCGCACTCTGTAAACAAAGCTGCTACAGAAACTTCAGTACGATGAGTCTCCAACTTGATCCCACGTCAGTTAATATCACCTGTCGAGGAAGGCGATGGCTAGTGATGCTTGCGTAACACATGTCTTAACCATCTCAGTCAATGTAACTTCACAGCCTCGTCGATTGATTTCCCCTCGTCCTCACCTAGCATTCAACGCCTAACCTCAATATTACTCACCCTATTATACCACTTCATACGGGAGATAGAACACAAACACCTATGATCAAAGGCAGCTGGCTGGGCTTTTCATATCCTCTACTCTCAATGGCCAGGTCTCACTCGCAGCCATATAGGAGGACGGAGAGGACTGATGAACAGTACACACGCCCTTTGGTCGACAGCTAACCGGATATCACGTCTCCTAAGCCAGAGACAGCGTGTGTTAATTTGCTGCAAGCAGAATGAAGAACAAGATTCGAATCTTCTCCAACACCAATGTCAAGTCAGTTCTTCTTCATTGCTCAAAGATTTGGCAAAAACATCATCAGTAACTGCCTCCCCCCCTCCACTTATCTTCACACTGGAATTCAGATAGCCAGCTGATCAGAAAGAATTAGCAACAAGGAGACTCTAGAGAGGAACTAACCAAGAACATATTGCTCAACAAATATGCCGAAGAAAATGTGAGTAGTTTAGACATAATCTGTGAGGGGACTGTGTAGAGTTGACATCACACGCGCTAGACAGTAGTTCCTCGAGTGGAACTCAAATGGAAAACAACAAGTTGGCCATGGGTCCATCCGTTGGTGACATGGAGGAGATATCGTGTGAAATGAAAAAATGAAAGCCACTTATGGACAATCATGGAGACAACCACAGAGGACTGCAAAGAAGGAAATGACATGGAAATTCGCTGATGAAGCCCTATGTTCCACTCGGAACCTAAGGGAACAACGATAATAATAATAATAACAATAATAATAATAATAATAATAATGAATTGAAGCAATAAATACGCACAGTACTACTTGGCATACATCAAAACGATTCATAATACAACGTATATTTAAACTCACTGTATTCGATGGCATTGGTCCTGAAAAACCTCGTAGTCGTTTCAGTTGTCCGTCATATTCATCAAGTATTGACTGTCTTTGAATAGCACTGCTCTCATACAAGTCACTAGGCTGTTTTGATGACAAGGAGTTGTTGTTTTGTGCTGTCGGATATGGTTTTACTGAAGTTATGCTGGTAAATGTTCTACACGCATTCGATGTAATACCGCATTGACTAAGTAAGGCTTGAAATTTACGTGTATCTAATGGTGGTAAAATTTTTGTCTGTATTATACTTGATCCTGAATTTTCTATATCTACTAGAACAATATAACTGTGGAGGAAAAAAAGAAGAAAAATTTCATCTCATCTGAGTTATTTTTACATTTCATCATATCATAAGGGTACTTTACATAATAAATACACGCTGACTGACTGACTGGTTTTAACATAGAACTTTGCCCTGACGTGCACCAGTTCAAGTCGCCCCCAAAGCCTCAGGATGGTCGGGGGTAGGTGCCTTGCGCTGCGGGTTGGCCACCCCTCCGCACATCTCTTGAAATGCTCCCATATGACTGACAGGGCGTCTTACATAGCCTCTCCTGAGGAAGTCCTACTCACTGCCTTCACGTGGCGGAGGTGTTTTTCACCAAAGTGAGAGGGCGAAAGCGGATTCCCGGCGCTCTTCACCGGGTTGACTGTCCATTGGATGACAGTCTAGGGGAGATGGCTAAACCCTGATTCCAAACCTCCAACGACTGGCGTATGAAGCTCACTGGAGCTCACCAGCAGACATATGGACAGAGGGCTTGTTGGATGTCCTGGATGTCTGGCCCCATTCAAAAAGGCGTATGAACCGAACTCCGGTCACCGGCTGCCAATGGATAGTGGACTCCCTACTCCACTCCTACTGCCTTGTAGGTCACACTTGGTTGTGCAAAGGCTAGAGCTGCACTCTCAAACAAAAGGCCGAGCGATTCTGGGGACATCACTCGTACCAAATTCCCATGGAACTTCTTGAACTCTCTTCATCAGATCGCCGCGCCTGGGCAGCGATGATTCGAGATGTTCATGAAGCCGGCTTATCCTTCCGTAGGAGATAGCCGAAGTAAAGTAAAGTAAGTAAGTTCAAGTCGCCACACTCACTCCTTGTAGCACACAAAGCAAGGGAAGAAAGTCAAAAGAAATGCAAAACAGAGATATGAGGCAAAAAGAATAGTAATATGGAAGAACAGTAGAGCTTTATTGGACGTCATAAATCACTAAGAGTAAATGCATCTGCGCTATCCATTGAGAACGAGGATTTTGGGCCATATCACCAATTGTCACCAGCAGTCATTGGTTTTCACTGTTCTGATGACCCCAACCAGGAAGTCTACACCTCCGTTCGTGGTAAGCTTAAACTTACTGTAGTGGATTTCATTGACTGATGAAGTCATGTTATGGTTTGACCACCAGTGGCTCTTTTCCAACCTGATCCATCATATGTCAGTCAGCTAACATTGCCAGTTGTTGAGGAAGCCGACCGATGGCTAGGCATTCATACGTAGCACATGCCCTAACCATCTCAATCGGTGTAATTTCAAAATCTCGTCGACTGACTTTCCCTCCTCACCTAGCACTCGACCGATGCCTAACCTCAATATCGCTCACTCTATTATATCACTTCACACGGGAGATAGAATGCAGGCACCTATGATCGAAACCAACTAGCCGGGCTTTTAATGGCTTCCACTTTCAATGACCAGTTCTCACAGCCATAAAGGATGATAGAGCGGAATGCTGAGCAGTACAAACGTCCTTTTATCGATAGTCAGTCGGATATCACGTTTACTAAGCCAGAGTTGGCGTGAACTGGTATATGGAAAACAATCCTGATGTATACCTACTGAGATTTCATCAGCGATCAACCTGTTGGGCTGGCTGATCCAACTTCCCAAAAAAGTGAGGCCGTTAACACGCCCAACCACTTCACTCCCTATTTTTAAGCTTGGAGTCAATGTAGTTTAGTCCAGTTCTGTAGCATCATCCTACATTTGACAGGAGTGCATGAATCGCATGCCAAACATTCGAAGATTGCTGCTGCTCAAGGTTTTCAGAAGATTCTGCTTTATTTTGCCAGTGTCTTCACCCAGAAAGGAGGACTATATCATCTGCATATTCTAAGTCAACGAGATTATCCCCTGGTAACAAATCAATCCCTGAGTCGCTGAATTCAGTTAGGGTTAAGTCGACTAGTATATCTATGATGAAGTTAAACAGAAATGTGGACAGTGGGCATCCCTGACGGATAACACGCTGAGAGACTTTTGGCTGACTGGTTTCAGTATAACATTTTGCACAGAAGTGAAGCAGTTACTTCAACATGCAACACTACATGAGGCATCCAGAGGTGAAGAAAAGCGGTGTGTGTGTGTGTGTGGTTAGGAGAGATTCAAAAGAACAGACCATTTAACACGGGAGATAGAACATAGATATCTGTGGTCACAGACGACTAGTCTTTTGTCATCTTCCAATTTCAATGATCATATCTCACAGCCATAAAGGAGGACAGAGCGAACCACATACCGCTCATTGCCTTAAGCACTCAGCTACTGACTCCTAAGTTCGAGTCCCACTTCGCCCGCTTTAGCCTGGATAGCAGTAAATAACATCATCACCACACAAGTACGGTTGATAGCCTGGAGCATGAAATATGTTTGGGGGAACTGATTTCAACAGAGTGGGGCTTTAAGCTCCGAAACGGTTGGTATACAAATTTATCAAAAGTCTCCACTTATATAACATAAATTTCAACTCAAACACATCAGAAATTTTTTCAATTATTCCACAAATATCGAAACTCTGAAATAAATGGAACGATACACTAGAAACTCTAAGAATCAATAACAAGCGATCTATAAGCTGCATAAGCACACTGATGCATAATGCTTAACCAAAAATTATTTGACAAGGTAGTCGAATTATAGATTTCAACACTCTCTAAAGAAGAAATAGCTGGACATTACCCTTAGTTATTGCAGTGAAGTGATACCCTGGTTAACCACTTGGACTCATAGGTCGACTAGTGGAACACTAGTTACCTACAGTTGACATGCATTCCGTCAGCGACAATCCGTCAATTCAAGGCTTGTGCGTCGGGGGTTCAGGAGTAGAATACCAGCAAAACATACAGGTGATCCGGCTTCGACCTCCAGTCGGCGTACTTCTAAACCTCGCTTAGGCCAGCGGTAAGCCAACATAAGAGGGAAGGTTAGATTTTGACTTTACTGCGTACTTTTATGTAACACTGTAATGTACTACTTAAATAGGTAGTAGTAGTAGTAACAGTTCATTGTAAATGGAGATTCTCTAGATCGTACTTAGTCATACAAGTTAGAGTAGAATCGAATCGTTTTTTTTTCATTCAGATCTTCAGTAATAAATATTTTTTCAATATAAAATTATTTGCTTCACAGAGATCTAACTAACTTGGTCAACTGGCTGAGACTCAGATACCCGAACAGATTTACATATGTGCCATCCTGTCTGCCACACTTTTGGCGTGACCAATAATAATACTATTTAGCTGAGTATGGGAAGCGTCGGTGGCACAGAGGTAGAATGCTTAATCAATACGTATGCGGTTCGGCGTTCGATCCCCAGCCACCAACACACTCCTTTACCTCACTGAGCCAATAATGAAACTGGTAAAGACGGAAGGTTGGGCATGAGACTAGCAGCCCCCTCCCTTAAAAGTAAATAGCACTGCTACCGAAACTTCGAAGCTCTAGCTTTGAGCCCTAAATTCCACTAGCAAGGTAAAGGAATAAAATCGAATTTTTAAAAAATCAATCATGGGAAGCAATGATTGGATGCGGGATCCAGTAAGTGAAAGTCGTGAGTTTAAGCCAATAAGCCACACCTTCACCTTCAAGTACATGAAGGGTACAGAGACAAAAACAATGTTCAGCGAAAGCTTTGAATAATGTCATTTTAAAAATTTCATTCCTCCTTTTTTATCTGATGCAAAGATGTGACATGTGGCAACTTCAATCGTTCAGCAGTAATGTTGTGTCTTATGTTGGTTGATATGTAGGCAAACATTAACTTCAGCTGAAGCATTTCTATGTGAATACATTTACAGGACTGATTATCAGCTGGTAACAGTCAGAGAACCACTGGAAAACCTGGACAACTGCTTCGCCCTACCTTGGGGCTCTTCATCAGTACGCACCCACCGGGGTCTAAACCCTAGAGCTTCCGGTTACAATGTGTGCTTGTAGACCATTCAAATTCTGCGACTCGACCCAATGGTTCATCAATTCTAAATTCTGACGATTCGCGATATTTAGTGAAACCACAATTAGGCCCTCCCAGTGGCTGAATAATAATCTACGAGCTCGACTTGTAATCCCAAGGTCCTGGGTAACTAAGTAACAGCATTAGCTCCTGGACAAAACTACCTCAACCCGGGCAACTGCGCAGTCTATCGTCAGCCCTCGATCACAAAGAGTGGGACATAACCTGGTTCATAAAACATCTAATCCTGACATTATTATTATTATTCTTTTGGGTCCCGTGTGTAACACAGAGCTCCTACTACACACATGCATTTCAGCCTGTCACCTGAAGCTTGTTCCTATTTGGCTTCGCGATTGCCCACAAGCTTTCATCCCTTTCTCACATGATCTTATCCATATCACCCTCGGACCTAAGCCTAGCTCATTGTTTCCACTCGAAACCTTGACTGATGCTTAATTTCCCCCTAAACGTGTTCAGTTCATCTTCATTGTCTTCTGCATATTTGCTGGGCAATAGGTTCTCGGTTGATTTGTCGCTTGCCAGAGTTCTCTACTGCTTATCCTCCCTCTCTAGCCGGTAATCTAATCTGTCTGTCTGTCTATTTTCGACATAAAACTTTGCACTGATGTGCGGCACTTCAAGTCGCCACACTTCACTCAGCAAACAAAGCAAGAGAAGAAATGCATAATAGGGACAGTAAACAGAGGTGTGAGACAAAGGAATGGTAATAACGAAGAACAAAACAGTTTAATTGGAAATCATGAGTCACAAGGAGTGGATGCATCAGCGCTAGCCATTGAGAACGATTTTGAGCCATGTCACCAATTGTTTCCAAACATTGGTTTTTACCGTCCCGAGGACCCCAACCAACCAGGACGTCTACACCTTCCTACGTGGCCTAGACTAACTGTTGTAGATTTCATTGACTGGTGACATGTTTTCGTTTGACCGCCGCTAGCTCTTTTCCAGCCTGGCCCTATATCAGCTAACATTGCCCGTCGAGGAAGGCGGTGACTAGGCATACGTAACACATGTCCTAACCATCTCAGTCGATGTGGCTTCACAGTCTCGTCGACTGATTTCCCTCCTCCTTACCTAGCACTCGACGCCTAACCTCAATATTGCTCACCTTATTATACCACTTCACGCGGGAGATAGAACGCAGACACCTATGGTCGAAGACAGCTAATCTTTTCATGTCTTCCGCTCTCAATGGCCAGGTCTCATAAAGGGGGACGGAGCGGACTTCTGAGCAGTACACACGCCCTTTGGTCGATAGTCGGATATCGCGTCTACTAAGCCAGAGACGGCATATACGAAACTAGCCCTCTGTATTCGTACTGAGATTTCGTCAGAGATCAACCAATCGTCAGTATGGAGCCAGAGAAGGTAACTGCTGATGAAAGTCTACGATGGACTGTTGGAAAGGCTATTGGCGACGTGTGCGTCAAGAGTCTCTTTGAACCACATAGAAACACTGAGTTCAAAAACATTGAGTACAACACAACAAATATATGCATAGACACACACACTCATTGAAAAACGTCTAGAGTGATCTTACCTTTCATCTAAAATTTGTCGTATTTGATCAGCAATCTCATTGAAACTGTTTACATCCGACTGAGATTTTCCTCTCGTATTCATCAAACGACTTGCAGCTAAATCGGCTGGTGTTTGTCCCGACCCATTGAGTGGATTAATTTTTGTTAAAGGATGACGTGCTAGAACTGCAACACACTCAATGTGTCCATGTTTACTAGCAAAGTGTAAAGGAGTTTCATAATTCTAAACGGAAATATGAAGAAAAACAAAAGGAAACTCACATTCAATGAATGGGTGGGGAAAAAAAGGGGGGAGAAAGGAATGATAACAAATGGCAGAGACTACATGAAACTAAGTTTATGGAGAAGTCATTTACAAACTGACTGACACTATCTATAAAACCATTGGGAATTAAGGATCACGGGTTACCAGGAAATAATCTCGTTGACTTAGAATATGAGCATGATATAGTCCTCCCTCCTAGATGAAGACTCTGACAAAGTGCAGGGTCTTCTGAACAACTGGAACTGAGCAGTAATCTTCGGGTATTTGGCATGCGATTCACCCGCTCCTGTCAAATGAAAGATGACGCTACAGAAATGGACTGGACTACATTGACTCACTCTTAGCTTCAAAATAGGGAGTGAAGTGTTTGGTGGGGCATGTCGACCACTTCACTTATTTGCGAAGTTGCATCAGCCAACCCAACGGGTTGATCACTTACGAAATCTCAGTATAGATACAGAAGGTTCGTTTGTCATTTGCCTGACAACTTACTCCATCTCTGCCTTAGTTAGTAGACGTGATATCCGGCTGTCTGTCGATCAAAAGACGTGTGTACTCCTCAGCAGCAGTTCGCTCTGTCCTCTTTTATGGCTTTGAGTGAGACATGGCCATTGAAAGTGGAAGACATGAAAAGCCCGGCTAGCTGTCTTTGATCACAGGTGTCTGTGTTCTATCCCCCGTGTTAGGTGGTATAATAGGGTGAGTAACATTGAGGTTAGGCGCCAAGTAGTAGTTAGGTGAAGAGGGTAAACCAATCGACGAAGATGATAGGGTTATGTTTCACGCACGCTGAGTCATCGCTTTCTCCAACGGTCGATGTTAGCTGACTGACATAGGGTCAGGTTGGAAAAGAGCCAGTGGTGGTCAATCGAAAGCGTGACATTAGTCAGCGAAGTTCATAAAAGTTACTTTGAGCCAACTACGTAGGGAAATGTAGGCTGGCTGACTGACTGGTTGTGGTGGCCGAGATGGTAAGAACCAATGAAGGCCGGAGACAATCGATGATATGGTTGGCTCAAGACCCTCGTTGTCAATGGCTGGCGCTGATGCATTCACTCTTTGTGATTTGCCAGTCATATCCAATAAAGCTCTATTGTTCTTCTGTATGACTACTATGCTTTTTCCCTCCTCACACTTCTGTTTATTATCTCTCTCTCTTTTGAATCTGTCTTTACTGTATTCTCTTGGTTGGTGTGCTATATGGAGGGAGTGTGGCAACTGGAACTGCTGCACATCTGTGCGAAGTGTTAGGTTGAAACCAATCAGTCAGGTCGCTGGAAAGCTTTCTCGTTTTTTCTCTTTGGTTTTTTTTTCAATTAAAACTGACAATCGTAAGATTAAGAAAGATGGGCGTCTAAATAGCCAACCGTTAACAGGAGATGACAGTGGCTATTTAAACCACAAACTAACAAAAGTTGGTATTTCTCAGTGATTTAACTGCGGTGACCCGTTAGTTGAATGACAAACTGCTTGCCTTACAATCATGCGGTTTCAGGCCCTATTCCTCATGAGGTCATGTAACTACACTACTAGAAAGTTCTAAACTAGAACGAAGTAACTATTTTCAACAATTCTCTAACTAGCACATTAGTTTGTAATGCAACAATGTAAGTAATTGAAGCTGAAATGGAAAGGCTTGTAACACACACCAATAAAGCTAATGTTACACATCATGTAGAATCTTCTGTTGTTTTACCAACTCCAATTTTCTGCATTCTGATGCATTAGAACATTTGTGTTACACATTTCTAGTGTCTTGACCAAAAGGAACATCTAGGTTCACATTATTTAACAAACACATATACGAAAGAGCTTTATACAATATTGACATATTTAAAGCTTAATGGATCAGATCAAATAACCAACTCTTTTTTCATTCCTTTGTTTTCTTAGTAGAAAATAAGGCTTCAAGCTCGAGTCCTGAAGTCTCAATAGCTATGGTGTTGCTGTTTTTTCTTTATAACGGAGTGGTGCTGCTTGCAGCATGCCTAACCTTTTCTGTTAACCAGTCTTACTATTGGTTGAGCAAGGTTTACGAGTGCGTCGCTCGGGAGTCGATTCCGGACGATGTGTGGCGTGGTTGGTGAGAATCTCATCAATGAACTATTGATGCAAGATTACTAAAGTGGTCAGCAGGAACTTCATGTAATTTCTATGGAGATAAAAGGATTTATTATTAACTGTGTATTATTCGTAATATGTGTCCTTCAGATTAAACCAGACAAACTCCTACTTGAGATTTTAGTGATAATTTAAGTCTGCTTATCAATATGCAAAACAATTTGAGGTAATTTACACAGCTTAAAGTGAACGTTTATTGCATAACGTAGTGAAGTGCACATGTCCTTTGATCGACGACCGGATATCACATCTAAGCTAGACTTCTCAGGTTGGAAAATTTCACACCAACATTTCGTACCCGTCTATTAGGGCTGATACAACTCCCCAAGTAAGTGAAGTTATCAACAGGCTCAACAATTTCACTCCCTACCTTTAAACTGAAAGTCAGTGCAGACCAGTCCTGTAGCATTATCTTACAATTGACAGGAGCTAATCGCATGTCATACATTTTAAGATTTATACTCAAAGTGTTTATAAGATGTCGTCTTTAGTCAGGGTCTTCACCTAAAAGAAAAAAATCATTCCCATTCCCATTCAATCGACGAGACTATACCTTTGATAACAAGTGAATCCTTACGTAGCTTTAAGTCGATTAAATTCCTATCCATCAATCCAATTATGATGAAATTAAATAATAACGGGGACAACAGACATTCTTGACGGACACTACCGGTTGTGTTATCGCCTCAGATCACATCTCCTCATAAGCTCTAACACAAAACTGCGTGAGTTTGAGAAGGATACCTTGATTAGTAGTATGATATACATTCTTGGCACTCTCTTCATGATCAGACACAACATTGCCCCCAACGCTTCTCAATAGACGGAGTCAAATGACACCTTTATCCAGTTTAGAAATATGACACTAGAAATGAGTGCAATGGAGATATATGCTACTGGCTGGCTAGCTGGTTTCAACATAGAATTTTGCACCGATGTGCAGCAGTTCAAGTCGCCACACTCAATGTAACACACAAAGTGAAGAAAGTAAAAAGAAACGCAAAATAGAGACAGTAAACAGAGGCAAAAAGAATAGTAATGTGGCAGAACAATATAGTTTTATTGGAAATTATAAGTCACAAGGAGTGGATGCATCTTCGTCAGCCATTGAGAACGAACATTTTGAGCCACATCATCAATTGTTTCCAGCCACTGGTTTCTACCGTCTCGAGGACCTCAACCAGGAAGTCTACACCTTCCTATATGGCTGGCTTAAACTAATTGTTATGGATTTCATTGACTGATGAAGCTACGTTTTGGCTTGACCACCGCTGGCTCTTTTCCAACCTGACCCGTCGAGGAAGGCGATGGCTAGTGATGCATGCGTAACACATGTTCTAATCATCTCATTCGACGTAGCTTCACAGCCTCGTCGATTGATTTCCCCTCATCCTCACCTAGCACTCGACCGATGCCTAACCTCAATATTGCTCACCTTATTATACCATTTCACAAGAGAGACGGAACGCATACGCCTATGATCAAAGACAGCTGGCTGGGCTTTTCATGTCCCTTACTCACAATGACCATGTCTCACTCACACCCAGTTATAAAGGAGGACAGAGTAAACTGCTTCTGAGCAGTACACACGCCCTTTGGTCGATAGACAGCCGGATATCACGTCTACTAAGCCAGGGACGGCGTGAACTGGCATATACTCCACCCTGAAAGTAAGGAAGTGAAATGACCGACGACATTTTTTAAATGACTTTCATGTCAAAAAAGAAACAAGAGACCGCAGAGGTAATATTATATAAACTTCATTAACAACTTGACTTACTCCGAGTTCAGGACTATTCAAGTATAAATCTAAGACATATTGTTGCCGCCAATAAGATGCTTCTTTACTAACATTAGGATAAATACGTTCCCAAAATGTATCAGAATCAAAATAATTCAGGAGAAGATGAAGTAAGGCTACATTGCCATTTGAAGCAATCACATGAAATGCATTGTATCGAAAACGTATCTACGAAAAAACCAAAAAAAGAAAAAAACAAGAAAAGAAGTAATAATAAATTCAGGCTAGCAATATTTCTTTGTCTAGAATTTTAACCTGTGTGTTGTAATTCTATCCCTCTTTTTTTGGTGGGGAGGGGTCTTAAGTATCTGAGATAATATGAACTAGTCATTGGGGGGGGGGGTAATTAAAATCTCTTAGTTCCAAAGAGTGCTTTATTAATCTTAGTTGCCTATAATTTATATTATTTTTCATCCACTTTGAAGAAGACTTCAACGGTCAGTGTTGACTGAGAAGTAATTTGGAAACTGCTTCAACACTATGGCGTGCAATGCCCAAGTCTTTGGTCTACAGTGGAAAACTCAGGGAAGTTTTGAAGTGACTACAGGAGTAAGAAACGACTGTCTATTATCACCAATGAAAATCCTAATTGTGATGGATTAGATTATGCGTCAGACTGTGTATAGGGAGCCAGAAGACAGGAATACGCATGAACTGACAAGAAGACTCTAGAAGATCTGGATTTCGTAGATGATTTATGTTTAGTGTCGTACAAACTCGTAGACATGCAGACGAAAACTAACAAACTGCCGGAAGGAGCAGCGAAGAGAGGACTCCCGGTGAACATAGAGAAGACCGGGGTGATGAAGATAACCAACCAATAGTAAAAACAAACAGTATCAGTCGCTATCAACAGAAGAAATTTGAAAGAGGAAGCAATGCTTCGACTACAAGGGGAACGGGTAAAGATACCAAAGCCAGAATCGGAAAGGTAAGATACACCTTTAACACCCTGAAATCAGTTTGGAAATCATCTGCACTCGGCGGCATACAGAACAAGATTTGGATTTCCAACAGAAATATGAAGTCAGTTTTTCTATACAGGTCAAAAACTTAGTGTGTCACGAAAGCATATTCCCAACAGTCCACTACAGACTTTCATCCACAGCTGCCTTCGCTGGCTCCATACTGAAGATCAAATGGCCGACCAGCCAGAAAGAAACTCTAACTGGTAACCAACCACCCAAGAGCCCGTCGCCCAACAAATATGTGGGAGAAAATGGAGATGGTCGGCCATACATTGGGGAAAATGTCGAACGGTATCGCGCGCAATGCAGGCCGTCACTCTAGTGGAATCCCAGGGGGAAGCAACGAGTGGGTCGTCAGTGTGAGGGTGACATGGAGGAGATTGTGTGATGAGGATGAGATGAGCGATTATAGGCAATCAGGGGCCCAGCTAAAGGGGAAAGCAGAAGATAGAACAAAGTGGAGGTGTGTTGTTGAAGCCCTATGTTCCGCCCGGAACCCAAAGGAATAATAATTTTTATTTTATTCCTTTACGTCCCCAGTAAAAGAGCTAGAGCTAGAGCTATATGACGATATCTGCCACGTGTCAGGTGACCCACAACGGAAATGTCAGCGAGGCGTTTCAACTGAATAATAGAGGAGTTAGACAAGGCTGTCTGCCTATTATCACACTGATGATATTCTTAATTGTAGTGGACTAGATTATGCGGAAGACTGTGCACAGGGAGTGAGAAGGCAGGAATACGTTGGAACGATTATAAGACTCTAGAAAATCTGGATTTCACAGATGACTTACGTTTGATGTCACACAATAACTTGAAGAATTACAGGTGAAAAGCAACAAACTGGCTGAAGAGGCAGGCAGCGAAGACAGGACTCCAGTTGAACATAGAGGAGGCGGAGGTGATGAAGACAGCCAACGAATCTCGACAACAACAACCAGCGACGATCACCATCAGCAGGAGAAATTTGACAGGAGTAACTGCCTACAATTAGCTAGGAAGCATCGTTTCAACTACAGACAATAGCATAGATGAAGATATCAAAGCCAGAATCGGAAAGGAAAGGTACACCTTCAGCACTCTAAAATCAGTTTGGAAAACTGCTGCATTGAGTCAGAATAAATAACAAAATTCGAATTTTCAACACTTATGTTAAATCAGTTCTTCTACATGGGTCAGAAACTTGCACTGCGCACACATCACGAAAAGCATTTCCAACGGCTGTCTTCGCTGGTTCCACGTTAAAGATCATATGACAAAGTGACCAGAAGGAATTACAGACAAGAAACTATAGGAACAAACTAACCAAGAGCTTATCGTTCAACAAGTATCCCGAAGGAAATGGAGACCTATCAGACACATGCTGAAGAGACCATCGAATGACATTGCGCACAATGCAGGTCGTCGCTCGATTGGAACCTGAGTGGGAAACAGCGAGTTGGACGTTGCCCCGAGGGTGACCATGGAAGAGATCGTGAGAGGAGTAGATCAGAGACTACAGTCGATGGTGGGGCCAGCTACAGGGGACCGCAGAGAATAGGACCCAAAGGGACGACAATAATAGTACATAAACTGATATGAAGTCCCACTAATATCATATCAATGATTATTAAAGTAGAATAACCTTCATAAACAACTTGGCTGGTATAGCCAAAGGAGGGTAGACTTTGGTCTTCCTCTCGAAATCCTCTCATCTGGTCACGCATTTATAGCCTCTGTCAGGTAAGTACTATTCACTACCTTCATGTGGCGGCAGTGAATGTGAATGTTTTTCACTCACAATCGCACTGATAGGTCCACGCAGGTCCAGCTAAGAAAGCTGGAAAACCTTGATTCCAAACGTATGGTTTACATAGGCTCAATAATACGAAAGGATGGGATGGCGTATGAAATTGTCCTGGTCACTGAGAACCATAAGAACGTAGCCCTGAACGCTACTCCATTGCCTTGTGTATCAGATTTCAAGTCTAAGGCTTGCAGGAGGGAGGGATAGGGGCCCCTTAAGACAACCGCCTGTTTCGGTATTGACTTTTTAGAAGTACTCTAGTCCTGGCACAAATTATGAGATTTTGTGTGGTACATCTTTTGGTGCTCATAATTTAACAAGTTTGTATTTTTATAATAAATATACGGGAATTAGAATAATCAGAAAGGGAAGACGATGAAATAGCAGTTGTGTAGCTGAGATATCCACCTGAAAAGTTTCAAAATTATTGACCAATGTACCTTGTAGTTCATATTTTTACCACGAGACCCATTAGTTAAAAGTAACTTATATAAGCTGGCATGAAATAATTCCTTGTTCGTATGCAAAAAATACAAAACAGTCACTGTCTTGCTGCTAATTTTAATGACTTTCTAAAAAGTAACTTCTACCAGAGAACGATAAATAAAATATTAAATAGCAGGTAAAAAACAGTACTATGCCAAATGTTCGTAATAAACAAGTGCATTTAATGTAGTGAACACATCGAACAGCATGGCTGTGAACCATATTATTCGGTGTACAAAAGATTATAAATTATACAAAACTTTAAAATGTAGTCACAGTACTTATACTTTCTCGTAATATCTATTATATTTCGTTAGAGGACAGCTAAAATCCAAGAAGTAGTGGGCAGCCGTTTCGTCCTGGCGCAGGACTCTTCTGCAATACGCACCGTCTGGCATCTGAACCCAAGACCTTCCGGTTACAAGGCAAGTTCGTAGACCACTCAGCTACCGGGACCTGAGTCAATGGCTTATGAATTCCAAATTTCATTAATCCGTGATTTTAGTGTGACCACTAGCTAATGTCATCCGTAGAGAGTATTTGTCCGTATGCCTGACCAGATGGACTCTACTGGTCATTACTTATCACTACAACTACAGGCAACTTTGTCCTGTAGCCAGTCAATAGCAAGCATCAGGAGTTAATTTGTAGGGATTTGATTCGTTTCAAGTCCGATCACGGATTGATATCAGTTAGATAACCACTGGAAACTAGGAAGTACCGGTTCTCCAACTCACAGCAATCCGTGATCAAACAAAACGAAACTCTACAAATCAACTCTCCAAATATTTATACTGACATTATGAAAGTAAAAGCTTTGAAGACTTTTTTTACAAGTGACTACACAGTACTGGTGTACTTTTCAGTGACTCGGCTTTCCAACCTGACTCAATCGAGGAAAACAATGAAAACAGTCACCACTTTTTTCGATCACGTTCAGCTAAGTGTCAAGCATTAATGGTTAATGTGAACGGTCATTAAGTATTTATTTCCATCAATACTCAGTTTCCCAAGCTAAATTAGTTGAAACAGGACTCGAACTCGGCAGTCATTGGATGAATGTCAATGCGCCGAATTATCACATTGTTGACAATGTCCACATCAGTCATTGGGTGAATAGGCATTCACCATATACAGGCACTAATATTGACAAAATCTGCCAAGTTTATCGTTTTATAGTTTCAGTGACTGATAAAATACATTCGTTATTGTATGTATTTTATTAAGTCCACTTCCATAAGCAAAAACATTTACAGAACACAAAATACTTTACACTACAATAAACTTCTGATACTAAGAACTGATTTGTAACCCCAACAAGCCAAGTGTTCTAATTCCACAAAATATTACACATTTCTACATTATTGATATTTTTTATTCAGGTTCCGGGTGAAATATCGGGCTTCAACATCATATTTTTCCTGTATTCCGTTTTCTGTTTGTTTGTTTTTTTCAGCTGGTTCCAAGACTGTCACAAGCATCTATTTCCTCTACAGTGACTTACAAAGAAAGAGTCCACTTGTTTGTCTAAGTAATATTCAATTCGACACTACTGTGCAGGGTAAAACTTACTAGTACTTAATAAGAACTCCTACAAAAACATACAAGGTAGTGTATGCAATAAAGTTGGTCAAATGACGTATGACAAAAACGAACAAAAGTAGTTGCTTATCCCACATCTGGAACAACCACTACCACACACACACACGCAACACTCAAAGAATCAGACACAGATAAATTTCTAAACTACGATACTTACCGTGAAAAAACCAAGTGCCCTAAAACTAGTCATTCGATAATTCTTTATAATAAACACCTCACCACCACAAAGGTTAATCGTAAAGACGGCACAACAAGGAATGTGAGGACAGATTTTAAGCCAAAAAAAATTAGGAAATACAAAATCAGCAAACAATGAGAAAGTCTCGTTATACGAGTAAAGTTTTAATGATGATACTTACTTGCAATATAGTGGGAGTATCACACGAGGTAACTAAAACCATCGGGTTTTCGTCAACCATTCGTTGAACACTTTGGACATCACCACTGCTGATCAAAGAACGGAAGCGTATTAAAGTTTGCTGAGTAACATTAGGATATGGGCTACTTTCAATGTCAGGTTTGGGTGACTTAATAATTCAAAGTCAAATAGAATATTTTAGCTTACGGCAGGATATGGATTGATGAGTTTGTCATCATCAACTGGTGTATCTGCATACTTGTTAGCATCAATATGATTGTTAAATAGTTTAAGTCTGGCACCCTTGATTCCACGTAGTTTCAAATAAGCCTTTTTTGGGTCGACGAAAACTTCACCGTGACCCTTGTCTCTAGGAGAAGCTACAGCATAGAAGCGAGCTGACAAAAAAATGAAACAAATAAAACTCTACCTTCTGTCTGGCAATCGTAGTACTCGTCATCAGAATCCTCATATAGGGAACCATTCATATCAAACACATGTCTGGTAAAAATAACCTTGAAATTAAAATACCACAATTGCTTTCACGGATTTATAACAAACACAATGCAAATAGTGCGGGATAATGTGATCTTGAGATTTCAGAGTTTAACTCTCTTGTAGACACGTGAAGTAACAGAGGAAGAATAAAGTTTTGTGTGTAGTTTCTCAATTCCAATAGCTGATTTGTCTGTAAAGCGTAAGGGTTCATACTTCCTGATTCTGAAGAGCAGTTTCAGTTCTGTTGTAGATCCAAATGCACTAGGTTTCATGAACCGCCTCTGATGGATCGATTTAACCCTTTGAATGTATTCAGATTAGTTTACCGACGTTATAGAGTGTTGGTTGATTACATGTTGGAATTCAACTCAACCAAAGTAATTAGAAAACCATTGAAAACCAAGGAGGTGTGAACAGCTTTTCTGCTATATTTCAGGAATATTCCACGACAACCATGTGAGACTACTCCAGTGATCGAAACAAAGACCACCTGATTACCAGATGAGTATGTAGTGGTAGATAATTCCCCAGAATTATTGGCCACAGCATTCATCATTGAACACTGGATGCTGACCTTCACTGTTTTTGTCGATTTGTTTAGTTGAAGGCTTCCGGTTAAGCATCCACGCCATCTGGCACTCTGTCGTGTTACCTTTTTTCGTGCACGATCCCTAGTTAGTTAAGCAATCATCCCGCACTCCAATTTGGTCCCGAAATATAATTCGTAATTTGGGCGGCCAATTATTGTGTTTTGCCTTGCCTTTGGTCTACGTGGAACGAATACTATAGAAGTTGTGGGTGTGAGATCTTGAATTAGTATACTTCGTACTATCTATGAACGTCAATACCTTCAGCCTCTAAAATGGTGAGCCCTATTGCGAACTAAATGCCTGGTAAATGTGCAGACAAATCCAGTGATTTAGTTCCATCTATCCAATTTCCAATATCGTTTTTACGGGCTAGTATAAACCAGTTTGATTCCTTTGTGCTAGCCTCTTGATTGTGAGGTAAAGTTTTCTGATCTTCGGTAAACTTCTGCGTAGTTCGTCCCGCCATTCGACTGTCGTAGCTTTGGTTGACTCCTAAAGGAGTAGTGCTGGGATTATTTATATGTTGTTTGTAGTATGCTGTTTGTTAAAACTGTGACTACTGTCAATGGAGTTGATCCTTTCACCAGTTAGTCCTCCAGTATCGTCGTCAAAAGAAAAGAGAGAATAATAATAATGGATATATTCAGTGTAGGTTATTCAGACTAAAAGACAGAAAAAGTAATAAAGAAAACGTAAAACAGACATCTGATTATATTTGAAGTTGGAGTTGTCATGAGAGTAAGACAAGAGAGAATGTAAAGAAGTAAAACGACGAATTTAGTTGTCTACCCTTGAATGGTGTATGGGACTTTAAGGGGATATGCCATTTGGACGCAGTCCTTGTGTCGCCACATGACTGTCCAGCCTTCGTTTAAATATGTCTTCAGACGATGCCATAGCTACATATGCTGGTAAGGAGTTCCAGGGATGGCAAACCCTCAGTGAAAAGAAATGGGAGCGCACCCGGGTCCTTGCCCTTAGGTGAGCTATCCTTCTGGGATCTCCATTCGTAACCATACTCCTAAGGTCATCGTATTCAATCAACTACCAAAACTACTCGGTTCGTGCCATTTCGGCCAGACATTGCAGAATATTATTTTCAGTGAACATGGTTTAACTGACCAACGTTCACAGTTCTTTGCAGTTGTTCACGCTCTACCACTGGAATTAAGCAAATACGTAACTGCGCGCATGTCGAGCCCAGAGGTAAGTAACCTGTATGAGTTGCTTAAAGCAACCCTGCTAGAGAGGAACGACCTCACGGATCGACAGCGTCTTGATGAACTATTTCGCAACGTCGAATTAGGTGAAAAGTCGGCTGTGAACATGCTAACGAGAATAAGGGAAGTTATCGGCCAACGTCAGTTCGGTGGGAGACTTTTCAGAGAACTGTTCATATCCAAACTGCCAAAGTCAGTACAGGCTGTGCTGGTGACACTTCAAGGTGTTATTATAGACGGCTTGGCTGACTCTGCTGACAGAATTCAAGAAACAACAATACGGCTAGTTACTGAAATATGCTCCGTTGCCAAACAGACTTCGAATAGAGACACTGCAGTGATAGAGTTACACAACTCCGTTCAGCAGCTCCTTAGGTTAAATAACCCCCGTAATTCCTTCTATCGTCCTTCGAATTCCCCTCAACGGCAAAACCCATGTGGTCGGTCTAAATCCAAGCCACATTCACTTAAAAACCCTGAAAGGTGTCGGTATCACAATGCCTATGGACAGGAAGCGAAATGTTGCAGAAAACTTTGTAATTTCAGCAATTTCTCAAAGACTATGGGAAACTAATCCGCCAGTACACTTTAGCGGCAACCGTCGCTGGTGGCACAAGTCGCCTACTATGCATCCATGACGATTATAATTTATACATCCTTCGCAAACCCTAATTTTAGTGTGATTTTGACAAATCGATATCACTGCTAGTCATTTTTAGTCTAACAGCATTAGATACTGACCTTGTTGTTGCTGTTTTGATTTGCTTCTGGTTTCAGTAGAAAGAACTGGTACTTTCAGAGTTCCTGGATAGAAACTTGCTTTTGTGTACAGCTTATCTTGAGTAAACGTCAAAATTCCTTCATGATCCAAAAGATATTGTGCAGATCAGAATCAATATCATTTGTAAATACGAAAAAGGTACCATGAATTATCAATTTATATTTTAGGTTTTAGGTACAAATCTCACTTCATTGATGCTTCGCTGAACACAGAGTTAGATAGTTTATGATGAATCATAGAAATTTGGCATTTATTTACTATTCATAAGTAAAAACACAGTTTTTGTTCAGCGAAGAAATTTCTTTTCAACGACTTCATTTTCAAGCTGTACATTCGTATTTATATTACAGAAAAGGTCATTACTAGATAATATTTCTCATTCTCTGAATTTCAAAGCAACCGTCTGCTCACTCCAGTGTTGTAAAGAAATTATGTTTAGATAAGAAAGGTCACAAATGTAGACATAAACATGGAGAATAAGTACAGTCAAACGTACTTTGATTGAATACTAGCAACTAGTGTGATGTGTCTAGTCCTTTGTTTAGTGCAGACTGAATTCTCTCAGTCAGGCTTGTAATGTTTCCACCCTTCTAGATAGACATATCACACTAGTTACCAGTGTCCAGCCAAAGTATCCAATACAGCCCTGCAGGAGGTCAGTCGCCAAAAAGCCCGAATATCTCAGTGGTAGTGTCTCTGACTGCAGCTCTCACTGGGTGATGCGGATTCGAATCTCAAAAGGGATACGAGTTCCTTCACGATTGCAGATACGCCTTGCTGACTGATGAGTGACAAATAGCTCGAAGCCTAGGTGGTGCAAGGCTTCTTGTGGCCTATCGCCTTCGACCATCCAATATACAGTCAAAAACTGCATTCATATATAAGTTGGACTCACGCGGCATCGCAAAATTTCAAGGAATTTATACTACTTTAATCCTTTTAAGTAGCTAAACTAGTGAAGAAAATAAAGTCATGATTATGTCAGCCATGTCTGTTCATGGAAAGACTATTGTAGTTTTGAAATTTAGAAGTGAAACACTTTCAAATGAATTAGTAAACACAAATACCGTTAATGTGTGGATATCAACTGCACTGTTCAGAAGCTACAGTATATATGCAATCGACAATGGGAATCTTTCATTTTATCATGTGTTGGTTTGCAGAGATTTGATTGGTCACAGGATAGATGACGAGTTGAACCACTGGGAAAACCAACAGGGAGTACTGGACAGCCGTTTCTGTAGTCCTATTCTGGCACTATTCATCACTACATACCAACCGAACCCAGGACCTTCTGGTTACGTGGTGAGCTCGTAGGTCACTCAGCCACTAAGATGTGGTTCAGTGGCCAGTTCATGAATTCGAACTTCTGCAAATTCGCTATATGTATATTTGGCACAACCGCCAGTCACTATCACAGATGAGTAACCTCAATGGGTGAATACTGAGAGTCCCAGACTAGAACGAAATGGCTGTCTAGTTGTCCCCGTTGGTTTTCCAAATGGTTCTCTAGCTGATGTAATCTCGGCTGGCCATCTTATCTTTAGGAAGGAGCGAAGGCAGTAGCTACTGATAAAGGTTGGCAGGTGGCTGTTGGATAAGTTTCTCGTAACACGATAGTCAAGTCCATGAACCATATAGAATTACTGAATGACTTGACATCAGAGTTAAAAATTTGGATTTTTCTCCTTTGGCGAGTGCATAATATTTACAAACTGACTCTAGAGTGATGAAGGTCTGTCTTGCCTTTCTGACGCTGGCTGGCCTTGACATCTGCCGCCTTTAGTTGAAACGACGCTGCTGGGATAAGTAAAAGTAGTGATCACCTTCAAATTCCTCTTGTTGATGGTGATTGTTGCTTGTTGTTATCATTGGTGATGGTCGGTGGGTATCTCCATCACCTTTACCTCCTCTTTCTTCACTTGAAGTTATGCTTTCATTAACTCTTCTGTCAGCTTATTGGTTTTCGCCTGTAGATCTTCGAAATTAGCCATGAATCATCATCGGAGTCCAGATATTGTCGAGTCTTTCTGTCGTCCCAATGTATCCCTTTCTTGTCGTTGACCACGATCTGTCACACTATCCAGTCTATCATATTGAGGAGTATCATCAGTGATAGTAGGTAGGCAGCCTTGTCTTAATCTTGTCTTCGCTTCAGAGGGTTCATGGATATCTTCGTTGGGAATCATTTGACTTGTGGCGATTTTGTACTACTGTTGGCTGAAGTTGATGAGCGGTTTGGCCACTACGTAGTGTGGAATCAATTTCCAAATGTCTCTGTTGTCAACTCTGTCCAAAGCTTTTTGAGGGTTTATTATTATTATTGTTCCCTTGGGTTCCTAGTGGAACATAGGGCTTCAACTGCACGCCTCCACTTGCTTCTGTCTTGTGCTGTACTT